CCTAACAGCAAATCCTATTTCACCTCCCATCATCCTAGGACTTCCCTTCACCTCAATTTTTTTTTTTTTTTTTTTTTTAATAAATGCAGTATCTGAACCCATTGTTAGTCTGTGTCTAGTTAATTCTTGTTTTGTTGAAACTCAGCCGTTTGTCCTTGATGATCCCAGGCCAGGGCTGCTGCAGGTTCTTCCAACTTCTCTGTGGCATATGGTGAGGAGTGAGGAGTCTGGTTTTGGACCAAGTCCCTGATGCTCCCTGAAGACCTTTTTTCAGATTGGGGCTTCTGTGCTGCTTTCTCTAAAAGCCTGTCTCCCTTTGTGATATGCTCTAAATTAGAGTGTGCAGTAATGATTAGGGGCAGGTTTGTAATCCTTGAGTAAATCTGGGGATTAATAATAGATATGATTTTTGTATGGAGGAATATTAAGTTATCACAGTTATAAGATAACCCAGTTGTGTGTTTTTCAAATTGTTTAATGTAGAAATTATAATGAAAATGATAGTTCCACTTAATTTAAAAGCCCTAATCATATATTGTGAATAAAATTAAAATATATTAGATTGGAAAACTTTTTGATTTTTATAAAAGATAATACATTAATATTTCTTATATACTCAGAATCCTTAAAGGAATAAACACAGGAAACGCAAGAGATAAAAAGATTAGAGTATGTAATTCAAGTTGTCAATAAGCCCGAACTTACTGCACTCAGGGAAATGCAAATTAACATAACAAATATTGCTTGTGGCATAACAGTCCGGCAAAATTCAACCTAAATAACCTTTACTATTTGCAGAAATGGTCATAAAAATATTTGTTTTTGTTATTTTAATTTTTAGAACTCTTTGAGAAAGCTGTTGACAATACATATCAAATTAAATGTATACATATATTGTGACTCAAAAACCTCTGAACATTTATCACATAGAGACTGTACATAAGGGTACTTTAAAAAGTATATCAATGGCTTCATGATTTGACAATAGCAAAAGAATACAAACGACTTGAATTCCTTTAAGCAGGTAATGCTAGAGTAAATTATGATATAACCAAGCTACTGAAAAGAAAGGTACAGATATATAAGGACTGAGTTAGAGTTCTAAGAAGTAGTGTTGAGTGCAAAAAGGAGAAAGAATGGTTTATAATTAAAGGCCATTTTGTACAGCATTTTAAAAGAATTTGTGTACAAACACAAATATATGGTCACTTGCATCTACCTATATTTGCCTATTATAATAGGAATATGGGGAAATTTATTAAACATTTGCTTTTTGGTATTGATGATAGCAGTGTATGAAATATTAGCCATAAAGGAATAGGAATAAATAACTACGTATAAGTTCATATATGCATAAAATTTTCATAAATATATAATCACCAAGTTAAAATGGCAGTTATCTCATTGTTTTGGTCCATCTAGAGACTTTTACTTTCTTACGTATACTTACGTATACTTACTATTTTAATTTTTATAAAAAATGCAAAAATAACTTTGTAATGGTAAAGAACCGTAGGAAAAAGTTTTGGAGATATGTCATCTATTGAATTTCACTTTTAAAATTACGTATCTACTAGTATATAGTGCATACATATATAGAGAGATAAGGTTTGGTTATACACACAATATATGAATTTATGTAGAATATATTGCATAATATTTGACAGATGTTACAAAATGGAATAATTTGTAGATATTAGAAAGATCTCAGTTTAATTTTAATATAACATGCCCTATATATAATGCTGTTCATTTTAATGAACAAATTTGGTGTTAGATCTGAGTATATTTTATATACTCACACATGAGAGTTTATGCTTGAATTTTAGATCCCTCTTAAAGTGATAATATTAAAAATCTACAATTTGAAGCATTATAATATTATCAAAATCCAAAAACTTCAGAAAAATAAAGCCTCAAAACTGTTGCAGGCCCCATGGGGCTCCCCTACACCCTGAGCCTTCACGTCCTCTGTACACTCAGGCCACTGGTTGCAGGTTGTCTGCTTCCCCAGCAACAGCAGACCAGCTTCAGCTTGGGCAAACCAGCACACTTCTCTGCCACCCAGTGGGCTGCTTTTCCAGTGAGTTCTGAATATCAGCTTCAGGGAGGAGGGCTCTTTCCATGGTTGTCCTTCCTTGGATATTCTCCCTCAACCCTAGGGTTTCACAGAACTTCCTTATAACTACTCATTTATCAAACTTTAGAAATTCTTTGTATCACACTTTTCCTGTTTAATCCACTGTGTGATTTTGATCTCTTCAGGGGACCCTAACTGATACAAATGTTTAATCTTTTTCTTTGGCAAGCCAGTCATTGCCTTAAGTCTGTCTGGTGGGTCTCTGCCTCTGTGGAGGGACACAGTGGGCTCTCAATAAGTAACCATCTCCTAGAAGACCCTTCAATTTGTGTCAGTTTTGTTGGGAGGCCTTACAAGGGTGACTGTAGGGCTTATTTCCTATGGGGTAGAATCAGATAGTACCTGATTTTTAAGTCTTCCTTCCTTCTTTGTCTCTTTTAAATACTTCTGTCTTTCACTTTTCCTTCAGAATATGTGTTTTTTTGTTAGCTTTTTTTTATGCTAACCTCTCACCGTATTATGACAACTCTGTGCCTCATGGCAGATATGAGTTTACCCAAGACAAGGACATTGACTTGCCTTTCCGAGGTTGAAGACCACTCTCAGGAATTTCCTCTGCCTTTCTTCATTCACCTGATGGGGATCTCTTAGCATGTTTTGGGAAGTAGACTGGTTGCTGTTATCAGACAGACTTTCCAATAAAAGGAGAAATAGATGTTCAGTGCTGGTCCAGGTCACAGAGATCCTTCCAATGAGGGTATGACCCAAAAAGGCATACTTTTTTTTTGAACAAGAAGAACTTTAAAGCAAGGGAAATCTTTAAAATGTAGAGAATTCCCTATGATTCTGGGTATTCCAAGTGTTCGTCACCCCTCTTTGAGGCCTCGGTTGGGTCCAGCACTTGGTTGTGCTGTAAATGTGGATTGTTTTCCTCCCTTGCTGTCTTTACTTAGCAACTTGGCTCCATTATGACAAAGGACAAGTAGATTGATGTAACTTGGTGCAGTGCTGGGCCCTACTCAACAACTGCAGAGAGGTCTGGATGATCATATTCGCCATGCATTCACCATTCCTTTCCTTCAGACTGACGGTTTCCTTTCCGTTGCATTGTCCAAACATACCACATTGTTGATTCCTCAGCTCCTTAAGACTCTGTTCAAATATCACCTATTCAATAATGTCTTTTTTAGTCACCTTATATAAAATTGCTCCCCATTTTCCATCTCTAAACTGACTCTCCTTTCTTATTCCTGAATTCTTTATTTATTAGGCCTTATCACCTCACACATAATACATGGTGTTTTCTCTTTCTTTACTTTTTTAGTGTATGAATCCCTGCAAAACCACGTATGAAGTAAAAGTTTTGTGTGCTTTGTTCATTTATTAGGCCTTATCACCCATACACACATGGTGTTTTCTCTTCTTTACTTTTTAGTGTGATGAATCCCTGCAAAACCAGTATGAAGTAAAAAGTTTTGTGTGCTTTGTTCATTGTTATTTTTTCTTTTTTTTTTTTTTTTTTTTTTTTTGAGGCGGAGTCTCGCTCTGTCGCCCAGGCTGGAGTGCAGTGGCCAGATCTCGGCTCACTGCAAGCTCCGCCTCCCGGGTTTACGCCATTCTCCTGCCTCAGCCTCCTGAGTAGCTGGGACTACAGGCGCCCGCCACCTCGCCCGGCTAGTTTTTTGTATTTTTTAGTAGAGACGGGGTTTCACTGTGTTAGCCAGGATGGTCTCGATCTCCTGACCTCGTGATCCGCCCGTCTCGGCCTCCCAAAGTGCTGGGATTACAGGCTTGAGCCACCGCGCCCGGCCTCATTGTTATTTTTCTAACATCTAGCATTGCATCTGGCACACAAGAATGCTCAATGAATGTTTTTTGAATGGAAAAAATTGATTAAATGGATGCATGAATTAACAAATGTTAGTTTATTCTGTATACTTACTCCTTGATTTCGAATTTTTACACAATGGTTGCTAAATCCAGTAAGGTCATATTTGGTTCTTTAGATCATTCAGTGTTGTACTCACTCTGCACCAGCATCAGATGACCTAATTACATGTTCAGGAGGGAGGCCATGACTTGGAGAATGCACAGGCTGAGTTACACAGGATGGTCTTTGGATCAGTCTGCTCTACCCTGATCATTCCCCTGGGGTGAGACAGAGGGCTAAGCACTTTGTAAGTGTATGAATCCTAGAATCTATGAAAAGAGCACTCCAGCCGGGCACGGTGGCTCACGCCTGTAATCCCAGCACTTTGGGAGGCCGAGTCGGGTGGATCACGAGGTCAGCAGATCGAGGCCATCCTGGCTAACACGGTGAAACCCCGTCTCTACTAAAAATACAAAAAATTAGCCGGGCGTGGTGGCGGGCGCCTGTAGTCCCAGCTACTCGGGAGACTGAGGCAGGAGAATGGCGTGAACCCCGGAGGCGGAGCTTGCAGTGAGCCGAGATCGCGCCACTGCACTACAGCCTGGGCCACAAAGCGAGACTCTGCCTCAAAAAAAAAAAAAAAAAAAAAAAGGGGAAAGAGCACTCCAGATTTCAGGAAGGCTGGTTATGAGGCATCTCCAACCTGTCAGAGGAGCTGGTAATTATGGAGACACTATACCCTACATGTAAAAGGAAGCCTGGAAGAGAAGTTGCCTGGAGCATATTTAATATAAGAGACTCGATTTGAAACCTGTTTAGTCAGAACCAATGATTTAAATTTACAACCTTTCCAAAGGGCCCCTGGCTGTGCTGTTGATTCTCCAGTGGTTTGTGTCCCAAAGTTTTCTGGCATTACCTAACCTGGATTCTGGTTGACAGCTCCTGATTGGTGCCTTCTGCATATATATTGTCAGGATGTGGAATCCTGGTCAGTGCCTTGCCTTCTCTTAGGCTTTGAAGCATTTTTTGTCTGTGCTTCCTGATCTTCAGGTCACCACCATGAAGTTCTTAGCAGTCCTGGTACTCTTGGGAGTTTCCACCTTTCTGGTCTCTGCCCGTAAGTAAAGATACTTATCTGAACGTAAGTTGTGTGGGAATACACATAAAATATCTCCCCTAAAGATGTGGGCTTGTGGTTGCTTAGAATGTGCTTTTTTACCTCTCCTGTCCTAACTTGTTCTATTACCATTTTGACTGACCGTTCAAGATGGAGAGGACTATCCTTAGGCTCTTCTTAATTCAGTCTGATCTTAATTCAATAATACCTTGGAACCCAAGTTTATTGTTACTGTTAGTAAAATATGTTTAATAAATCAGAGATTTATTTCGGGAAAGGAAAAATGACCACATATTAGGTTTTTATTGGTTTTCTTATCTTATCTGTGCACTGGTTCTGCCTCAACTGGTACACCAAGGACTGAGGGTCTTCCATTGTAAAGTCTGAAATATTGTCCATATTCTCTCTTACCTCCATCCTCCAAACTGGTATTCAGCTAACATCTTATTTTTCCTTCTTCTCTTTCAGAGAGTCCAACAACATCTGCTCCAGCTGACACGTATCCAGCTAGTGAGTCTGCACCTGAATGTCATCTCTTTCCTGCAATGACCATTTTCCATTTCCAGCCTCATGTCAAATAGACAGTTTCCATGTGGACAGTCTCAGTTATAAGAAATCCTAAGCAAAAGCCTGTGAAAGCTATATTCCTGATTTTAAAATTAACCACAAACATAGTGAATCTGCTTACGTCTTATACATTCTTAGAACATATGAAATCTAGGCCATAGACTTATACAAATGTGGACTTATTATTCATTGTTTTTCAGCAGAAGGCACAAGAGCATGAGGTCTGATGTTGTAGCCTGAGAATTTTTGAGACATGCCTTTAATAAATGGAAGGACTGAATATATAGCCAGTGTCAAAAAGAGGCCAGTGAGTCTCAGAATGAAGGAAGACACTGTAATTTTGAAGTCATATAAAAATAAGTCCATTTGGATCACAAGCGAGGGTGGTGTGTAGGATGTGGAGTGCAGGGGTCAGGTAGAAGAAGAGGTCTAAGCTTTACTCTTTGAAATGGTGTATATTCCTTATTCCCAGGCTGATGTTTGTTTCCCTTCTCTAACCTGAAAATGAAAGTGGTGGACCAAAGTCTTTAGTCATTCTTGGGCTTCTCCCAAAGTGTTCTTCACATTCTGTACTGTGTGTGTGTTGTGCCCATGCGCAAGTTAAGGGGGTCTGTCTTTATCCTTCACATCTTGGTCACAAGAGCATTAGCTTTAGTCAGACCTCACATATATTTTTCCTGCCATGTGAGGCCCCATTTAAAAAATATTCTCTCTTAAATAAGGCCTAAGACAGCATGGATAGAGTGTGGGTTTGGAGGTGGAGCTACTTATTTGCTGAGGTGGGTTTAACTCACAAATGTGGGGTCTGACTCTTGATTCTTATCAATAGCTCTGGTGTAAGGTCTAGAGAGAGAGATAATTTTCATAGCTCTTACCCAGTCCCTTTTTATACATAGTAATTGATGGGGCATTTTTATTACTGTCAGAAGTAATACTTCTCCTGTTATATCTAATGTGGCTGTCACAATTACCTCTCTAATAAACAGAGTCCAAGTTGTCACAAAGGGTGAGACAAATATGGCTCTTTTCATTCTGGAATCTGATAGAAGATATCTTACTGCACTCTAAGGCAGGAGATATAACTCCAAGATGAGATACATCTTCTTAGTCTGCCTCCTCCTTCCCTCTAGAGTTTACTCACACTCATTCATGCTGCATTGGAATGTATGCTCTCTTAGGTTATTCTGTGGGAAGGCATCAGAATGTCAGGCTACTAGAGATTTCCTTATTGCTTCTGAGCAGTAGTCCCTGTGAATAGGAACACTCATGGTCTTGCTCTTTTGTGCTTATACCTGGGACAAAGTACTTGCTTGTCTCTTTAATTGGTGTCACTGCCCTTGGAGGGAAATCCCAAATTCTTTCTGTCCCAGCAAAGACAGGACAGGGAAGGGTGAAGCATAAGGAAAGAGGGCAGGTAGGCTAAAGATAAGACAGAACTGATGACAGATTTGCAGAGATGAATTCAGGAGGAGGAATGTACGTCCACCCCTGGGTGGGATAAATTTTGTTCCAGAAGGAGTCAGTCTCACCTAGAGCTTTTCCTTCTAATTTCACCTGGCTCTGATGGTGATGAAGCCGCTGAAGCTGAAACCACTGCTGCTGCAACCACTACAACCACCGCTGCTGCAACCACTACGACCACCGCTGCTGCAACCACTACGACCACCGCTGCTCCTACCACTGCAACCACCGCTGCTTCTACCACTGCTCATAAAGGCATTCTAGGTAGCAAGACTCCTCCATCTGTGTGCTTCCTTTATGTGGCTCCTTGATTCCTTGGGTTCTCTATTCTCACAGAGTCCCTGTTTTTGAGGTCAGGGAGACCTCTTCTTTACGCTGTTCTCTAATTCCTTGTAGTTTTCTAAGTCAAGTCAACAGACAAATACCAGAGGAGTCAAAAAGTTACCTGACTTTTAGGTTACCAATATTACCTGAACGGATCTTGAAATATTGGCATTTATTAAGGAAAACTCTTCCTTAGTAGAAACATCATTGGAAAGACCAAAATAAGTTTCTCCATGAAGCTAGGTAACTGCTTATTTACTTATTTTTTAAATCAGGTAGGGTGTGTGTGTGTGTGTGTGTTTAAATCAGGCAATTTAAAAATCAGGTAATCTAGTAAAATCTTTGTTTCCTTTAGAGAATTTTCCCAAAATAGAAAATAACAAGGAGTGATTTTACAATCTTTCTTGAGGCAGATTATTTTGAGTGCTATTCAGGGTATTTCTGGGGTTTTGGACATTCATTGAGGATCAATGTACATTTCTCCTATTCTGGGTTCACTTTTTCTTGAACTTTAACTTTCACGTAGTATTGATTAAAACATTTGTTCAATCTGAACATATGCCAGGAACTATGTCATAAAATTTACATATATATTATAATTTAAATATCACAGTCATTCTATGAAATAAACATTTTAAAGACGAGGAAATGGAAGCCTTGCAATGAGAAACTTTCCTTTGATCACACAGGCAGAAAGAAAAAGGAAATTGCATTTAAACAAATGGAGAGTTACAATGAGAAACTTTGAGCACACGGGCAGAAAGAAAAAGGGTTCAAATTGCACCCATACAATCAAAGTCCCTAAGAAATCTTTAAATATTGCTTTATACTTTTTCATGTCTGGGTTAGTGCTTGGAACTCTGTCAATAATCTGTAGAGTAGACTATGAGTGAGAAAATGACTTTTCTCTCTTATCAGAAGAAGGCTGGATCTCTGTGCCATATTATAGGAAAACTCATACGTATTGACTTTCTTCTAGTTCTCTCTAAAGTTCCAACCTACCTGGGCTTCCGTCTAGGGCTGTATTTCCAAAATCTTTAAGGACAGGTATTAGTTGTTTATCTTCCCGTATTTACAATCCCATGTTCCTTTCGAATCCCCTGAGTTTCGTTGACATTTGACACTTGTTAGTTCCCTCAGATTCTGAAGAATAAATCCACATTCTTCATCCTTTGTGGAAGCCTCTTGACAATATTTTTTTCTCTTACAGATTTACCCAAATGGCTTCAGGATTTCCTGAAAGGCAAAGTGTTTCCCTGAGATGGAATCAACTTGAGTTTTCTGCAATTGGTCACAACTATTCACGCTTCCTATGATTTCATCCAACTACTTACCTTGCCTACTATATCTCCTTTATCTTAATCAGTTTATTTTCTTTCAAATAAAAAATAACTATGAGCAACATAAAAATGGTATTTCTTAGGGACTATGGGGTGGTTGTCCAATGTTTAGACAATCCAAGTGACAGACACTTCAGATTTTACCTAATACTTCCTTGTGCTCCTACTGATAACTAGATTTCCTTCTTGTTTCTTTTTTAAATAAGACACTAGTTTTGTGCTTAATACTAAAGACTAGAGATTTCTCTAACATGGATAGACTAATCAATACTTAATAGATACAAATGTTCAGTTTGATTCCACCAAACTCTCCTATCAACTGACAGAATTTTTTTCTTATCTGTAATGACTTAGCACGTGTGGTAAGAAAGAGGAAAGAACTCCTGACATCTGAGTACTGGTTTGACACAGCCAAGTTTCAGAGTTGTTAGAGGGTGACTGGATGCTCACAGTTAGGCAATGGTGTTTTCCTGTTGGACACAATCTCACAAAACACCAGCATCAGACAAGGCCATTCAGTTACTGATGAATTGAGAGTAAAAAGAAAAACCAATGCATATATATATATTTTTTTTAAGCACAGACAAAACCAGAGTTAGTGTGCAAACCTTAGAATACTAAACATTCCTCTCTCTCATTCAGTGATTGCTGCTTCACTATGAATTACAGGTTAAGCTTCACAGTAGTCTGCCCTCCTTTTGGATACTGTTTATCAAGAAACCTAATCTTAGCATTGTTCATATTTGCTGACAGCATCCAATCCAGAGGTTAGCCTCACTTCCCTGATCCCTCCCTCAAATCTCCTGACTCAAGCTCAAATCCTAAAATACAAAACACCCTGACAATAAGACACCTCTCTCAGTTCCCCATGGGGTGTGCTTTCTCCCATTGAAACAAGTAAGAAATCCAACTTTTTCAATCCAGGTGTGCTCCTGGTGGTTATTGAATAGAGGACTTTGACACCTGAATGCACAGTTGCACAACGTATTATATATGAATAAGACATGGTATATTGGTTTTTTTCACTGACTTGATTATGATCAGATTCATCACTGGAACCCTGGACATCTCACTTAGGACTCTAATTGTGTACCTTTGAAGGCTTTGTCTTCACTCCTGATTGATTGATCCATTGGCGGGATCCATTGGTGGGTCAGACTCTTGAAGCATTACTCTGAATGATGTTGATGATCAGCAAGGACAGGTTGTTATTAAGATTCTGTGTGTATTCTAGAAGCTGGGTTAGAGTCGTAGATGGAGGTTGCATTAGGATTCTGTGCTTTCTGTTTGTAAGAAGCTAGGTTAGAGTCCCAGGAAAGCAGAAATTATGTTAGAGGCTCAGGCTTCATTGTTTCAAATAACTGTGGGGCTGGAGGTCTTTCTTACTGCTTCTTTGTTTGGAGTAAGGATGATTCTTTTCCTGACTCCTGGCTCTGGCCCTGGCCATGGGCTGGAAAATTCTTCTTAGCTCATTTGTTTCAAGTGAGGATGCACTCCATGACTCCTGGGCTGAACACTTTTTTTTTTTTTTCCTGGTTCTTTGTGAGGTCTGTTTGTTTTCTCTATTTGATCCTGTCTCTCTCATGGGAACTTTTTAGTTGACTAAAATCCCCCTTTTGAACTCCTGCAGACTTTATGCTTCCCTGAATCTGCCTACCTCCTTTCAGTTGGCATGATTTTGCCAAGGATAATTTAGAACTTCATTGACCTCTTTGGGAAACTTACTATCTCCCCAAACTGGCTTCTGTAAGACTTCTCCTTTTCCATCAGTTCCTCTCTTCCTTCTTCTTACCACCTTGAATCTTCCCTTCAGCACCTTTGAATCCTTTGATATGTCTCCCTTTAAACCCTACCATTTCTACTCCTCTGTTCACGTCTGCTAGACTTTTTCCTCCACACTTCAATCCCTCAGCTCCTTATAATTACTTGAACTCTAAACCGTCTGCTACCACTGGGGGCTCTTAAGGGACTCAGTTTCCCCCAATAGCAACTACCTGAGGCTTAACAGATAAAAGGCTAATTGGAAACATACTGGATATTTTATTATCCATTTAGATGAGTATTGAAGCTATCCAAACAGGTGCTTGATGTCTCCTTAGTCACTGGACTAGAATGTAGTCCCAGCCTCCATTAAATTGTCCATCAGAGCAATGAAAGTCTTAAAGGTGTTTTCAACAAATAATGGTAAGAACTTTAGCCCTCATGTTGAATGGGCAAATTTACCATGTCCCATTTTTGCTAGAAACACAATTAGGATAAACATGTAAAGTGGTATAAAGATGAGATTCAACTGTTTTATATAAAGCACTGTTTTACATTATTGACATATAACCAATCTTTAAAATGAAAGCTATAAAATCTCTGTTTGCATCAGTGAGCATGCATGTTTATGCATATTTATGTATGTTTATGTATGTATGTATGTTATGTATATGTGACATTTTTCTATTGCTGGATTACCAAATCAATTTACAAATTCTCTTAAAGAACTTGTATTCAAATTGGCTTTGAGATTGGTCAGTGCTTATATATATATTAAATATTCCCCAAACTCCCAGATATATAAGAACTAACCCAAATATCTTTCAAATTCAGGCGACTTAGGTGCATTTTTTGGTAAATAAGATTATTTTAATATTGTTGGTTCAATAAAAACAGCTACATTTTCTGATTGATTAGCATTAAGTATATGATCATACATTTTTATTCTTCTTGAGCTTACTAGCCTAACTAATATTATAGATATTGGATGTTTAAGATTATAACATTTACAAATTCAATCTAAGGACAAATGTACAAGCAAAGATGCAGTAAAAATGAAATATGATTATCTCTTCGTGTGTGCAAGGGATTGGCCCCAAGACACTTCCCATCCACTCGCCACCTGCGAATACTGTATTTTCCATCTGACTTTGGTTGAAAAACATCTATGTGTAAGTGAACTTTCACAGTTCAAACCTGTGTTGTTCCAAGGCCAACTGTGCTTGATATCTATTACTTAATATATTAAGCACAGTAGTAAAGAGAAAACCAATCCCATGTACTTAGCTTTTTAGGTTTTTGCTTTTGTAATGCATGCCTAACATGCACGTGTTGTAAAAATAATTTAACAGGTACTAATTTGTGAATGATAACTAGTTTTATTTGATGTTACAGTATGTCTGCCTAAAAAGAGTTTCAAAACTTAAATGACTAGCAACCTAAGAGCTATGCTAAGTTAGGTAATACATATTCATTAATATTTTCTTTTCTTTTTTTTTTTTTTTTGATACGGAGTCTTGCTCTGTCACCCAGGCTGGAGTGCAGTGGCGCAAACTCGGCTCACTGTAAGCTCCGTTTCCCAGGTTCACGCCATTCTCCTGCCTCAGCCTCCCCAGTAGCTGGGACTACAGGTGCCCGCCACCACGCCCAGCTAATTTTTTTTTTTTTGTATGTTTTAGTGGAGACGGGGTTTCACAGTGTTAGCCAGGATGGTATTGATTTCCTGACCTCATGATTCACCCACCTTGGCTTCCCAAAATAATTTCTTCTTTAGACTAGAAATGTATTACAATTTATTTAAACTTTTTGTGTGTATAGATATAAATAGTTGCCAATATTTTCCGTTATAAACAGTGATATGATGAATATTCCTGTATAAGAGTGATTTTATACATGAGCAAATATAGCTGTAGGATAAATTCTGAGGAACAGAATTGCTGAAGCATAGATAGATTTTAAATAATCGTATGTGTTGTCAAATTACTCGCCACAAGGATTACATTAGGATAGACTTGAAGAAATTGCTGTTTTATTTCTTAATGCATTGTAATAGCATAACTTTATGCGGCACAATTTGATGTTTTGATACATACATGCTGTCTAATGATCAAATCAGCACAATTTGTGCATTTGTCACCTCATGCCTTTATTTTTTTTCCCAGGTGATAACATTGAAAAGCCTCTCTTCCTGCTGTTTTGCAATATACAATACCTAACCGTCAATCATAGTTACTCTTCTGAGCAACAGAACACCAGAACTTATTCTTATCTAATTGCAACTTTTTTGTAGTCATTTACCAACCTCTTCCCTCCCTGTACTTTCCCCTCTTCTCCTCAGTGTCTAGTAACCACTGTTCTAGTAACTTCTATGAAATCAACGTAAGAAAATTAGATTCCACATATGACTGAGCTCATGTGGTATTTGTCTTCCTGTGTCTGGCTTATTTCACTTAACATAATGTCATCCATGTTCATCCATGTTGTTGCAGATGACAGGATTTCATTCTTTTTCATGGATAAATGGTATTCCATTGTGTATATATACCACAAATTTTAAAATCCATCCATCTATTGTTGGACACTTAGGTTGATTCCATACCTTGGCTACTGTGAATACTACTACAATAAACACAGAAGTTCACGTATTTCTTTGACATACTGACTTCATTTCCTTTGGCTACATACTCAGTAGTGAGATTGCTAGATTATATGGTAGTTCTTTTTTTAACTTTTTGAGGAAACTCCACACTGTTTTTCCACAATGGTTGTACTAATTTACAATCTCATCAACAGCATGCAAGTGTCCCCTTTGCTTCACATCCTTGCCAATACTTGTTTTCTTTTATCTTTTTGATATTAGCCATTGTAGTTAGAGTGAGATAATATCTTGTGATTTTGATTTGCATTTCCCTGATGATTAGTGATGTTGAGCATTTAAAAAACGTATTTGTTGGCCATTTTTGAGGTGTAGGCAACAGTGGATGTAGTATGTGGGAACACTGAACTCATTGTGCTAGTGTCTCTCAGAGCTAAAGGAATCCAGAGAATTCTGCATGCTGTATCCAAGTTGATGGATGAAGCTCAGACCATGGAATACCTTTTCTTAGGCAGTAGAAAGATACAGTTAGACATTTTTCAGTTCAAACAAATTCCACTGAGGTATTGTATGTTGGAGCTTTTATGGTGGAGAAAAGTAGAAAGAAGAAGAAGAAGAAAAAAAAAAAACCTTACTAGGCTCTTTAGTTCTGTCTCCATTTGATCCAGACATAGTACTCCCAAAGAGTATTATGTGATCATACAAGT